ATTTGCTACAAACACAAACGTTTTTCTTCTGATGTCGTCGTTTACTTCACTGCCGGTCCGTCCATCATGAGGCTGCTGCCGTCTGTGCTACGAGTGCTGCCAGAGCTGCTTTCAGTACCGCTGCAGACCTCAAAGAACAAGGTGATCTAGTTCTGCGTTCCTGTGTGGTCAGGTCACTTCCTGTTTCCTCTGTCTTACCGGCTTCAGAGAATTATTTGGCACATGCACAAAGCCGTGCAGACACAGATGCAGGAATAGCGTCCACGTGTTTCAGAGGTCAAAGTTCTCACGAGCCTCTGAGTTCACGTATAAGTTCCTGACGTTTGGTTTTGAGAGTAAAACAGCACAGCTGGGCAAGCGTGTGCACGACTGTTCATGTGATAAGATAATAATCAGTTTGTTGGTGATGTTTCGGGGAACTGAATCACAACCCTGTGATAACATAAGAGGCTCAATAGTTTTAGAGTAGAAGCAGAGAGTCAACCAGCTTCAGTTGTGCTGAAGATGCCGAGACCAGCGATGACCCAAAATCACAGCCTGTGTTCGTGTCCTGTGGGTTTGTGGTTTGCTCTGCTCCACTTCGTCATGTTTCGGCTGAATGCTGCTTCTGAACGCCGTCAGTTCCCCGAAACTTTTAGAAGAGCTGATGCAGCATCGTGGGAAAGGCGTGAGCATCGTGCGCGTTCCTGAGCTGGCGCCTGGGTTAGAGTCCACCCCAGACCGTTTCCTGTGTGTCATCCACTCTCGCTCTCTCCTCACTTCCCTACATAATCTCCCCCAATAAAAATCTGAATGTTTGACCTGAGCTGAAACATGTGCAGATGCTCCTGTTTGCTGACGTCTCCCGTCTCTGACTTGCAGGAACAAGTCCTCCTGCAGTAAGATCGCCATCCGCCTCAAAGTGTTGCGGCCGGACGACGTTGTTAAGTGTGCGCTGCCGGTTGCCGTGGCACCGATTGAGGACTTGATCCCTTTACAGGAGGGGAAGACGTTAGACTGTCCAGACCTGCAGGATGCCACCAAGATGTCAGAGAGCGCACCAAAGGTCCAATGGTACTTTGTGGCGCACCCGGTAAGTTTTCAGCACTGCTGTTAATCTCCGTCCTGTTTTATCTGCAGTCTTTGATTCTGTTGCCTTCAGATACTCAGAATCACATTAAAATCATGCTGGTCTCTGACATAAAGCCTCTGAGTGCTTTCTCTGTGTGACACCAAATTAAAATCCTTTTAGACACTCGGTTCTTTATAAAGCCTGAATTGACATTTTCTTAAATGTCAGTAGATCAAAAGTAATCGAGTATATCTTGAAAATGTAAATCGTCTGCAAATAACATTGTTTTGAACACAACACTGAACCTTGTGGAACGCCACAAACTCAAAACTGAATCAAATACCAAACATATCGATGTCTGTTCTGCGAGTAGCGACTCGTCTCCGCAGATAGACGGCGTCCACCTTCTGACACAATCTGACGTTTGAGTTCATCTCCAATCAGCCTTCAGTATGACAGATTTATTGGTTTGTTCTGGTCGCTGCATGTTGGCGCTCTCTTGGATCACGGTTACTGGGCTGCTCTGTTTTATTTCCAGTCAGCAATTTTTCTAATGGCTGTAAATTATGTGGCTCAGTTCATGAAATCTTTACCTTTCTTTAGTTTGACTGATGTTGATGTTTTTCTACGATACATTATTTCTTCACTTATTATATATTATTTTAAAGAAAATCAAGGCACTGTTTCAGGGGCAGAGGTGAAATGATGACATATTAATGATATAGAAACATATTTATTAGAATTCAACTAACTTTGTCATTTTCTATATTTTGAAAATAGCAGTGGGCCCAATATTGAGCCTTATGGAATCCAATTTTTATTTCCCAATCCAATTTTATTTATAAAGCACTTTAAAATACCCCGCACAGGAACAAAGTGCTGTACAGAAAATAAGTTAAAACAATAGAATAACAGAAAACAGCACAATAAATAAATAAAACACATAAAACATAAAATTAAAACAGCCCTATATTAAAACAAAAACAAGATAAAACAGCATCGAATCACCTAAAAACAACTAAAATAAAGAATAAAAAACCAACATCTCACGTGGTGTCAAAGGTCAGGGTAAAAAGGTGGGTTTTCAAGAGTGACTTAAAACAGGTAAAGAACTGGCCTGTCTGATCTCTAAAGGAAGTTCGTTCCACAGTTTTGGAGCTGCTACAGCAAAAGCACGATCTCCTCTAAGTTTACGCCCAGTCCTGGGTATCTTCAGGAGCAGCTGATCAGCTGACCTGAGAGAGCGGGTGGGTGTATGAGGCTGTAGCAGCTCAGAGAGATAAGATGGAGCTAGGCCATGGAGAGCTTTAAAAGTAAATAAAAGAATTTTAAAATGAATCCTAAAAGAAATGTGCAGCCAGTGAAGTGAAGCTAAAACAGGGGAAATGTGCTCAAACTTTCGAGTGCCAGTTAAAAGACGAGCTGCGGCACTTTGCACCCTCTGTAGATGACTAATATATGATGTGCTGACCCCAATATAAAGTGCATTACAGTAATCCAGCCGAGTGCTAACAAAGGCGTGGATCACTGTCTCAAAGTGCTACCGCGAAAGAATTGGCTTTATTTTTGCAGCTGCCTGAGGTGAAAGAAGCAAGATTTTACCACTGCCTTAATCTGATTATCAAACTTCAGATCACAGTCCACTTTGACCCCCAGGTTTGTGGCAGTTGGCTTAACATACTGTGCCAGGGAATCTACATACACATTGGGGGTCTCAGTGGGGCTACCAAAATGCTCTTCAATGAAGTACTTTATGTTTAACTAGAAATGAATGTGTTTTGTAAAGAAGTCTCACTGGTTTCGTTATACACCTTGTGATACTGATGATTGAGTAAACCACACGTATCAGCACCGTTATCGCTGATTAATCTTTTTTCTCTCACAAATGTTTTATTTTCTCTTCCTCGTATGCTGGGACGCTTGTGTTTCTGCAATAACAGTTTTACTTCTTCTTTCAATGAACAGAATATGTTCAGTGTGTATTCGTGCTTTTCCTCTCTGCAGCTCTGTTCATTAATCCTGTCAACGAGTCAGTAAAGCAAACAGCTGAACACTGAAACACGCTGTAAAGCCGAGCGGAGCTGCAGATCGGGTCTGGATGAAACTAAAGTGTGTGAATCTCGCCGTTCTCAGGTGTGCGACTGGTATCCGTTCTGGGACAGCGACAGGGAGCAGAAAGGAAACAGTCTGCAGGTTCACCTCATGATGGAACAGTATCAGGGTTTATATTACTGCAGAGTCCAGTACCAGAGGAGGAACCAAACACTCAACTTCACCAGGAGCATCAACGTCACGGCCATCTGTGAGACACCGTTTCTGCTAACTCGCATGCAGAGATTACAGGCGGTAACTGTGCAGCTAACCGGTGCTCTCATTTCCTCTCAGTGCCCCTCTCGCTGCCCAAAGAGCCCAGCATCATGAACCCCACACATGACCAGATTTTCACAGTCAAAACAGGTACGTGAACAAACCGCCCGAGCTGTTCAGTCGTCTTTGTCTTTGCACGTTTTTCCTGTTTGTACTGCAGCATTCAGCTTTAGCTCAGAGGTCTCGAGGACGTGCTAAACGCTCCTATGTGTAGATTTAAAGATGAACATTTGACCGTCCCTGCCGTGACTTGGAGATGGCGGTCAAACGTGCCTTGGGCTTTACCTTAGGGCCCATTGTTTGGTTCATATTGCTGGCACTAAGTCAGAGTCCTGGTGGGCTGTGGGTTCAGTGGCCTCATGGTCTTTCTGGCTCTGCGGAGCGATGACCTCCAGCTTCAGCACCTCTCAGTCTGGGACCAGGTTCCCATCAGGAACAGGCTGGAGTGCCCGTTCCTTCGGGAACAGTTTGGAGGAGACCCCGGGGCAGACCCTGGACGAGAGAAAATGTCTGTTGGCTGGAATGTGTCGTGATGAGGACCGGAAGGAAAAATCTCGTTTTTAAGGGTTTTCTTTGTGTCGTCGTTCACCCGGAGCTGCTGCAGTCGTGCATTGTGGGGACCCTGTTTGTATGCGAGGCAGCAGATGCATTGATCGGTGCAGATGACAGCCGGAGGTCGCTGTTGACGGAGCGATAGTGTTAATTTGTTATTGATCAGAAACGATTGCTCAAAATGGAAAACGTGCAGACGAATAACAAACTGAAAGAACAGAAAAACCAAAACAAACAGAGCTCACATGTTAAATACACAGAAGTAAATAACTTCCTGTCATTGATTTGTTTCTGATTGGCTGTCCTGTGACTTCTTCACAGCAGGAACATAAATCCTGCTTGAATAAAATGAGCTGCACGGATATATTTGAGCCCATTAAGGACATTTAGAGTGTAATGAGGTTGATCTACAGCAGCCTTCAGTCCTGCTCACACTGATGAACACAAAGGTCTGCACAGACGCCACGTCTCTCATTAACACAGAGGACGGGGGTGAATCTAACCAGGCTGATTTGTCCAGATGTGCATGGACAGCATTGATGTTGATGGAAGAGTCGTGTGGCTCTGCGGAGGAAGTTCTTCCACCTGCAGCTGGACTCTGAGGACGTGACGGAGACGGACAGGCGGTACTTCGTCTGCCAGCAGCTTCTTTCAAACGGGCTCTCTGAGACTCGACATTCACAAAGTTAATCGTCCGCTCAGAATTAGTGGAAGCTGCGGGAGAACGTGTCATAAAACAGAACGAGCTGCTAACGGCGTGCACGGACACGCGCTCCATCAACGCACACGACATGTACACACAGTGTGAGTCGGTGCCGATGGAGGCGAGCAGGACTGCGGCCAGCAGGCTGATAAATGTCTGAAGGAAACGACTGCCGCAGCGCCGTCATCAGCAGCAGTTTAAGACTTCGATGTCAGCGTCATTGTCTGTGAAAGGAAAATAAAGTCATGAAACAGCAGCTGCATTTGCCAAAGCTGCAAACACCGCGACTCCAAAAAGTTTGAACGGGTCGTTAATTAGACTGAATTTATTAACCTGTGCAGCAAAGAAACATCGAGATATAAAAACACGCTCGGGAACACGTGTTCTGCACGGGTCGCTTAATAAACCGCAAATATTCAACAGAAATGAATCCAGAGAATTCACTAACATCACTTTGAGTCACCAAAAAAAGCTACAAAGTGAACTTGAAGTGGACGTGTGCCGCTCATTTCCAGCTCCACGTGCAGCTCTGCGTGAGTCGCAGTTCAAAACGACCATATTAGGATATTCCCTCTCTATGACATCATGCACGAGTGGAGTGAACTGTTTAGCGTGAACATCCACGCCTGCAGCAGGAAACACTTTACCTTCATCCTGGACTGAAAGTAATATCCTTCTGTCTCTTCAGGCACCGAGGTGCGTCTGGTGTGCAGAGGTCAGCTTCCGTTCGTCCTGCACAAACCGTGGCGGGAGATCTGGTGGACAGTTGATGGGAAGACGCTGGACAAACTTCCTGATCGATTCACACAAATTAGCAGGTGCGAACAGAGCGCGTGCACCAGCAGCCGCTCTGCGCGGGCGCTCGTTATAAAGTCACATCTCCAAATAAACTCGATGATAAGAGCGCTGACCACTGCTACGGTTTATGCTTTTATTTGGGTTTTTAAATGACGCCTCTTTCACTTTCATCAGCGTCTCCTATTTTTCCTGAACAAAGTGCACCGTTGGAATTAACTCCAAACCTTTCATAAAAAGCTTAAAATAGTGAATTAAAGTTCAACTCAAAGAGTGTTTTACAAAAACAAGATAAAATGTGTAAAGTGCATCTGTAGCCTCAGTGCTTATAATGTGAAAGGAGCTGTTTTTCTTAAGGTGTTTAAATGTAACAAAGTTGAAATACTATTTTATTGATATATATACCAGGCTGCGAGACCATCGGCAGCACAGCATATTTAAAACAACTCGAACTGCAGAAAGCGTGCTTTTATTTTGAAATGTCACTTCTTCTTGTGCTTTGAGGGTGGTGAGAGACCACTTCAGGGACCTGACTATCGAGAACATCCTCGTGATCCAGGACTTCCAGTCCAAAGACCTGAAGCGGGAGTTTTACTGCTCCGTGAAGAACGAGCGAGGCTTCGATACCCGCAGAGCTCAGCTGGAGGAGGAAGGTGAGGAAGCTGCTCACGCCGTGTGGATGTTTCACATTAAAGGCTCGTCATGCATCTGAAACTCAAGCTCAGTAAACACTTTGCAGATGAGCTTCAGGTCTCAGTGAACAAACAGGAAGTTTGTTTTGGGAATTATGGTCCTGGGTCATCCCCACCCAACACCTGTGACGTCTTTAATAGACCAAGGTGTCGATGACAAAACCACAGATAACGTCCAGCGTAATGGAGAACTCCTACTGTGGACTCCCACAGGGGGCGCTCTTGAGCTTGAGCAGCGTTAGATAGAAAGGATCAAAAGCACAGATGTGCTTTTTTTCTATTTGTTACAGTTGTAACAAATAGAAAAATTGTAACAAAAGTTGTTACAGTTTTGTTACAATGAAACGATGAAGGCGTGGCAGCAGCAGACCCCCTGACCCCCTGACCTGTGATGAAGTGTTGTTTTCTGTCCGTGGGGGCGTGGCTTAGCCGTCACTGAACCTCAGGTGTGTTTGTGTTGCAGTGTCGCTGCCCACCGTGGAGCTGGGCTGCGGCCTCGGCGTCACTCTGCTCCTCATGCTGATCCTCTTCGTGGTTTATCACGTCTTCTGGCTGGAGCTGCTGCTGCTCTATCGCTCCTGGTTTGGCACAGACGAGCGGCACACAGGTGAGACTCCGCCCCCAGCTCCCTGCACCTGCTCGGCCCGTTCGCTTTACGACCTGCAGTCAGATAAACCCTCAGATGCACCGTTTTTATCACCTTTTTGTGCGATTGTGATTCTGCATATTCGGGGTGTAAAACACGAGGTAATAAAGCTACAGCCTTGTTTTTTGCCAGGTAACTGAAATATCTGCAGTGTCACTTTTTATGCCCCGACACTAAATTTCTTCTGGTTACGAGTCGCGCTGCCTGGCTGCAGCATTTAGTTTATTAAAGGAGAACGTTTGTGACCCTAAAATCACTCCAGAGCTGCATGTTTGCGTTCGAGGACACTCGGT